CCTCCAGTGTCGCAAGAACCTCTATATGGTGGTTCACGTCGTTCTTGTACGCATCTCTTGTTGTGCTCTGCTGGGCGGTGGCTGCTGGTACTTGAGGTGCGCCTCCGCCACTTCCTTTGACGCCGTAGGCACCGAGTCCACCACCTGGCGAATCTCGTTTCGAGTGATCGGTCCAGTACGTCCTTTCATCGGTCGAGGGCGGTATGGCGGGGTCGGCTGGACTGTTGACTGCTGCTGCTCGCGTGTGCTGCGACTCGCCGACCTCGCCCTTTGACGACTGTGTGACCGCTGTCGCCACTTGTAACCACACAAACACTGCCAGTGCCTCATAGGCACTTCTCTGCTGCACTTCCCGCAACGCCATGTGGCAGGCATGAAAGGGCTCTTCTGGAGGTGTGTGAGCAAGCGTCCGCCTGCTTGGACCAGCTGGACTGAGGTGCGCGCAAGAAATCAAAACTACAGAAGGCCAGGGCGAGGCGTGAGCCTGCCTACCCTGGTCAAATCTGGGTTCACTGTCGAACCACCTTGACAATGGCCACGGACTTGAGCCAAAATGGCTTGAGCCAAAATGGCTACGGATCTCCTCCTCGTTTTCCTCCTCCTCCTCCTCCTCCTCCTCCTCCTCCTCCTCCTCCTCCTCCTCCTCCTCCTCCTCCCCCGCCTCCTCCCCCTCCCCCTCCCCCTCCCCCTCCTCCTCTTCGGGCGCGCTGGGGATCCCATTGGGGCCCCTTTGGGCTCTCTTAGGGCCCTCGGGGCCTTCTTGGCCGTATTGGGGCAGTCTGGAGGCCATCTTGGGCCGTTTGGGGCCCCTTTGGGGCGCCTCTGGGGCCGTCTTGGGATGATCTCTGGGGCCTCTTAGGCCGTCTTGGGCCCGTCTGGGGGCCCTCTTGGACCGCTATGGGCCCGTTTGGGGCGCCTCCGGGGCCGTCTTGGGACGATATTTGGGGCCTCTGGGCCGTCTTGGGCCCGTCTGGGGAAGAAACGGGCCATGGGGCCCGCCCGGGAGCCGCTTCACTCGAAACAATACGAGGGAAACGGGCTATTAGACTCTGACCATTCCGTTCGGGCCTCGCACCCCCCATGGACCCCCCCCCAAGAAGGGCTTCGCCCCCTACTCAACGTCACTCGCTCGTACCTCGCTCTTTCCGTCACCTGCTTGGCACGGGGACGGAAAGCGCACTTACTTTCAGAGCGCACGAGATCGCTGGCTCGTCCGCTCTTACACCTCTTATTGACTCCCTTTCCCTCGCTCTTGTCCTATCTCAGCCTCGGAGAGTCCCGGAGTTTTCTTTGAGCGCGTTTCTTGTTTTGGAGGGGTCGGTCGGGTCGTGTTGCGTTTTCCGCGTTTGGGCTGCCAGCTTTCCAGAAACCCCGCGTTGTCCTTGCCGCTCGTTGTCCACGCGTTGCCGCCCGTCCCTGCCCTGGCGTCAAGAACTTATTACGCCGCAGCTCTCTGTTGGGAGCTTTGGTCTTATCAGCTCGATTACGTCACCGCTCGCTCTTGGGAGCCGCGGTGCTAATAGCCTTTGGGAGTATTTTGGGCCTCTGGGGGGCCTTTGGTGGGCCTCTTGGGTGCCTCTTGGGGACCTTTTTGGGTTTTCCGGGGGCCTCTGGGGGCCTCCTGGGAGCTTCTGGGCTGCGGGGGTGAAGGGACTAGGCTGCCTTTGGCCGTCTTTGGGCTCTCTTGGGGGCCTCTTGGGGCCTTCTTGGGGCCGTCCTGGGGCCGTCTTGGGCCGTCTTGGCGCCTCTTGGGCCGTCTTGGCGCCCTCTTGGGCTGTTTTGGGGCCTTCTTGGGGGCCTCTTGGGCCTTCTTGGGGCGCTCTTGGGGGCCTCTTGGACAGTCTTGGACGCCTCTTGGCCCGTCTTGCCGCCCTCTTGGGCTATTTTAGGGGCCTCTTGGGAACATCTTCGGCCGTCTTGGGGCGGTCTTGGGGGCCTCTTGGGCCGTCTTCAACGCCATGAACAGCGAAAAGCCGTATATGCTAAAAATGCACGTTTTCCTTAAGACAATCAATGATTTTGGCCTCTTGGGGCCCTCTTGGGACGCCTCGTGGGCGCCTCCTGGGGCGTCGTGGAGGCCTCTTGGGACGCCTTGGGGCCGCCTGGGGCGGTCTTGGGCTCTCTTGGAGCGCTTTTGGGCCAACTTGGGCGCTTCTTGGGCCGTCTTGGGCCGTCTTGGGCGCCGTCTTGGCCGCTTCTTGGGCTGTCTTAGGCGCCTGAGACGGCCAAAAAAGCGCCCAAGAAGCGTTCTCCGATGATGTCTCGAGCGAAACGCTGTTTTTAAGCCCCGGAGACCGTCCTACTCAATAAAAAAAAAAACGAGGCGCGGGTTCTTTCTGTGAGGGCGCGAGGTCGCTGGCCAGTGTCTTGGACCCCTGCTGGTGTGACGGCTTTGGTACGACATACTGAAATGTAGCAACGAGCCTCGCGAAAATCAGTGAATATTGTATTTCCGGGCCTTCCTGGGGGTCCTTTTGGGGCTCTTTTGGGCCGCCCCAAGACCCTCTTGAGCCGTCTTGGCGGGCTTGGGTCGTCTTGGGGCCCTCTCGGGGCCCTCTTGGGGACCTCATGTGGCCTCCTGTGGCCCCCTTGGGGCTCTCTTGGGAACCTTTCGGGGCCCTCTGGGACTCGTTTTGGGCCGTCTTGGGGCTCTCTTGGGCCGTCTTGGGGCCCTTTGGGGCCGTCTTGGGGCGCTCTTGGGGGCCTCTTAGGCAGTCCTGGGGCGGTCTTGGCCGCATCTTGGGCCGTCTTCGGCACTTGGAAAAATGTATGTTTTCCGGAGGGAATGAAACGATTTTTGCCTCTTGGGGGTCCCCTTGGGGGCCTCTTCCGGCGTCTTGGGGGCCTCGTGGGCCGTCTTGAAGCCATATTGGGCCCTCTTTGAGCGCTCATGGGCCGTCTTCGGGCCCTCTTGGACCTCTCCGACGCGTCTTGGAGGTATCTTGGGCGCTCTTGGGGCTGTCTTGGGCCGTCCTGAGGGCCTCTCAGGCGCTCTTGGGGCTGTCTTGGGCCGTCTTGGGCCGAAAATTGGGCTATTAGATCTGGGCCCGGTCCTGCCTAACCCCCCACCCCCCCTTGTTATTTCTCCCGACTAACGGATCGCGACGCTACGCGCGCTTTCCGTCATCTGCCCCGCCCCCCTGCCTACCCCCCCCCCCCTGTTTTATTTCTCCCGACTAACGGATCGCGACGCTACGCGCGCTTTCCGTCATCCGGGGTGTCCCCCCCCTCGCTCCTCCCCTGGACCCCTCCCGAGAGGGCTTCGCCCCACCTGAACGTCATCACTCGTACCTCGCTGTTTCCGTTACCTGGGCCGGCAGGGAAACGGAAAGAGCGGTCTCGGAGACTTGCCCGAGATGGCTCGTGGCACGTCCGTTCTTGGCCCGAAGAAGCGAGAGCTCGAAAACCTCCAAAAACAATTCGAACAAAAAAACAATGAACTTTGCTTCTTGAAGGTTACGTATCTGGGGCCCTTTTGGGGCCCTTCTGGGGCCCTCTTGGGCTGTCTCGGGGCCCTTTTGAGCCGTCTTGGGCCGTATTGGAGCGTCTTAGAAGCGTTTGGCCGTCTTCGGGCTCTGTTGGGGGCCTCTTGGGAGCCTCCCGGGGCTCTCTTGGGGCCCTCTTGGGGCCGTCTTGGGGCCCTTTTGGGGCCCTCTTGGGCCGTCTGGGGGCGCTTTGGGGCTGTCTTGGGCCGTCTTGGAAGCCTTTGGCCGTCTTGGGGCTCTCTTGGGGGCCTCTTGGGGCCCTCTTGGGAGCCTTTGGGGCTCTCTTGGGGGCCTCTTGGGGGCCTCTTGGGCCGTTTTGGCGCTCTCTGGGGCCGTCTTGGGGCCCTCCTGGGTTGTTTTCGGGCCCTTTGGGGGGCCTTTTCGGCCGTCTTGGGACAATATTTGGGGCCTCTTGGGCAGTTTTAAGCTGTTCTTGGCCTGAAGAGGAGAGAACCCGAGAAACCTACAAAAACCAATCGAAGAATCAATGACATCTGCATCTTGGGGCGCTTTTGGGAAGCCTCGTGGAGGCCTCTTGGGGCGTCTCGGGGGCCCCTTGGACCGTCTCGAGGCCATCTTAGGCCATCTTGGAACGATCTTGGACGGTGTTGGAGTCTCTTGGAGCGCTCTTGGGCCGTCTTGGAGCCGTCTTGGACCCCTCTTGGGGGTATCTTGGCCTGTCTTGGGCGCTTCTTGGGCCGTCTTGGGCGCGTCTGGGGCCGTCTCGAGGGGGGGCCTGGCCATTTGACCAATTTGGGCACGCCTCGCCCCTCCCCTGGACCCCCCCCCTGAAGGGCTTCGCCCCACCTGAACGTCATCACTCGTACCTCGCTGTTTCCGTTACCTGGGCCGGCAGGGAAACGGAAAGAGCGGTCTCGGAGACTTGCCCGAGATGGCTCATGGCACCGTGCGCTCTTGGGAGCCTTGGTGTTCAGAGCTTGTTACGTCACCGCTCTCTGTCGGGAACCCTTGTGTTCAGAGACTTTCACGTTGCCGCCCGTTCTTGGGCCTTGGTGTCAAGAGCTTGTTGCGTCACCGCTCTCTGTTGGGAGCCCTGGTGTTCAGAGACTTTTACGTTGCCGCCCGTTCTTGGGCCTTGGAGTCGCGAGCTTGTTGCGTCACCGCTCTCTGTTGCAAGCCCTGGTGTTCAGAGACTTTTATGTTGCCGCTCGCTCTTGGGAGCCTGGGTGTTAAGAGTTTTTACGTCACCGCGCTCTGGAGAGCCTTGGTGCTAAGAGCTTCTTACGTCACCGATCGCTGTTGGGAGCCATGGTGTTATTTAGCTTCTCTGGGGGCTCTTAGGGGTCTTCTTGGGGCCCTATCGGAGCCTTTTTGGGGCCCTCTGGCAGGGCCAGGAAGGCGCTGCGGGCAGCTAGAGAGCGCCAGAGCCGCAAGCCGCAACGGCAGCTACATGACAGCAGAAACTGACGGACAGGCGGGGGTCGCCTGAAAGCTGGCAGGCCAGCAGAGTCAGTCAGATCCATAGCACAATGCGTCGACGCACCCTCTCCCGCTTTACTCGCGCAGGAGGTTCTCATGCGGCCCCATCGTGAACTTGAAGAAGTTGTATTTGACAAAGGAGCGGTCGCCCTTGGCGGTGAAATTGACGCCGAGGCTCTTGTCTTGCTTGAGGCCCTCCGCCTGCTCAGCCGACGTGGGCGAATTGAGCGTGTACTTCATCATTTCCGCATACTCCGTGACGTTCGTCGGCCACTTCCTTGACTGCGTGAGCACCCTCTGCACGCTCGGGTCGCCGAGGTTGATGATGCGCGCCGCCGGCTGGTGGCTGGTCGAGTAGAGCGCAATCGAGAACTCGGCGCAGCACCAGCCGCGGTTCTCGTACGGGACCTCGTTGATCACGCCCCACACCTTGCCACCCGGATGCTCGTCTGGGCCGTGGAGCTCGGGGAGCACGATCACCTCGCAGTCGCGGTAGCAATAGAGGCGGCTCATTTCAAACATGGCGACGCCGAAGGCACGCTTCTCCTCCGGCGACCTACCCTTGAGCGGCCGCGTGAGCCCGTGCTGCTCGAAGTACGCGTCGGCCGCACAACTGCGCGCCGGCGCGCCCTCCCACGGCACGTGCTGCGGCATGAACACAGATCCCATCTTGGCCTCCTGCGGGTTGGAGCAGAAGTCGAAGAAGACGAGGTCGTCGTCGGCGGCGGCGTTCCTTGCGAGCGCCGCCGCGAGCTGCCTCATCTTATGGCCGCCGGGGCTCGGGTGGACCTCTGTCTCCCACCCGTGTGAGACGACGAAGAGGCGCCTGCCACGTGGCGGCGCACCGATCAGAAGGCTGCCGGACGGGATGTCTTGGCGGCGCGGGAACGGGCCACCCGTATCGACGAACTGCTTGACGGCCTTCACTAGGAGCCACCCCACTTGTGCGCGGTTGCACCAGTGGCGGAACCCCTTGCGATCCCTGGCAGCTGGTTGCATCTTTGCGAAACGATCGCGGAGCCAATGAAGTGCGTCACCAGAGTCAAGTGCGTTTGTCCATTCGGATTGATTGATCAAGCCTCGAATGTCGCTGTATCTCTCTGGGTCGAGGGCCTGCCTCTTTCATTATGCCTTCCACATCCTCCCAGCCTTTACCCGAAGGGTATACGATCTCCTGGCAGTAGAGAAATTGCGTGAGGAAAACATTCGACCAGCCTCTCTTCAGATATCCTTTGAACTTAGAATGTTCTGGAATCCGCGGCATCATAATCTGACGAACTCGCCAGTAATTTGCAATGCATGCGCTCTTTGTGAGGTAATTGCGAAATAGCAACTCTTCTACTTCCGAGCGCGGTATCATTGGCACGCATGTAAAGTCGAAGAACACAAGGTCATCGTCTGAAGCTCCGCACTGGTGTAAGGCAGTCGCAGCTTGAATCAATTGATCGCCCTCTGGACCTGCATGAAGCCTTGACAACCAAGATGCGTCCCAAGCAAAGATCGACACACTGTCCGGCGGAATGCCAAAGTGGAATGCTGCCGCCGGCATTTCCTGCCGGCGCGTCAGGGTGCCGCCCTCAGCAGCGACTCTCCTGAGGTATCCAACCTTGAGCCAACCTATCGAGTAATAGTCGTCAATATTATACTCGCACCACGCGTGAAATGTAGCGTCGTCCCAACGAGGATCAGGTGTGGCGGGTGCCTCCTCTTCCAGCAGCATTCTGGCGGCCCGCATCGGCCTCCGTTGATCCTTGTGCCGCTGTGAAGATTCAGGTGGCGTTTCCTCGGTCTGAACGTGGCTCGTGCGAAATTGATTTCGACTAGCCTTGAGCAAACATCGCTTGAGCCAAGGCTACGGAAGCCATCTGAGGCCATCTTGGAACGCTCTTGGACGGTCTTGGGGTCTGTTGGATCGCTCTTGGCTCGTCTTGGAGCCCTCTTGGACCCCTTTTGGGGGTATCTTGGGCTGTCTAGGGCGCTTCTTGGGCCGTCTTGGACGCCTCTTGGGCCGTCTCGGGGGGGGGGCCTGGCCATCATCCCTGCTTGGCATGGGGACGGAAAGCGCACTTACTTTCAGAGCGCACAAGATCGCTGGCTCGTCCGCTCTTACACCTCTTATTGACTCCCTTCCCCTCGCTCTTGACCTATCTCAGCCTCGGAGAGTCGCGGAGCTTTCTTTGAGCGCGTTTCTTGTTTTGGAGGGGGCGGTCGGGTCGCGTTGCGTTTTCCGCGTTTGGGCTGCCAGCTTTCCAGAACCCCGCGTTGTCCTTGCGTGGACCGCTCGTTGTCCACGCGTTGCCGCCCGTCCCTGTGCCCTGGCTGCAAGAACGTATTACGCCGCAGCTCTCTGTAGGGAGCTTTGGTCTTATCAGCTCGATTACGTCACCGCTCGCTCTTGTGAGCCGCGGTGCTAAGGGCCTTTGGGAGTATTATGGGCCTCTTGGGGGGCTCTTGGGGAGCCTCTTGGGTGCCTCTTGGGGACCTTTTGGAGCTTCTCGGGGGCCTCTGGGGGCCTCCTGGGAACTTTTGGGTGGCGGGGGTGAAGGGGCTAGGCTGCCTTTGGCCTTCTTTGGGCTCTCTTGGGGGCCTCTTGGGGCCTTCTTGGGGCCGTCCTGGGGCCGTCTTGGCGCCTCTTGGGCCGTCTTGGCGCCCTCTTGGGCCGTTTTGGGGCCCTCTTGGGGGCCTCTTGGGCCTTCTTGGGGCGCTCTTGGGGGCCTCTTGGACAGTCTTGGACGCCTCTTGGCCCGTCTTGCCGCCCTCTTGGGCTATTTTAGGGGCCTCTTGGGAACATCTTCGGCCGTCTTGGGGCGGTCTTGGGGGCCTCTTGGGCCGTCTTCAACGCCATGAAAGGCGAAAAACCGTATATGCTAAAAATGCACGTTTTCCTTAAGACAATCAATGAGTTTGGCCTCTTGGGGCCCTCTTGGGACGCCTCGTGGGCGCCTCCTGGGGCGTCGTGGAGGCCTCTTGGGACGTCTTGGGGCCGCCCTGGGCGGTCTTGGGCTCTCTTGGAGAGCTCTTGGGCCGTCTTGGGCGCTTCTTGGGCCGTCTTGGGTCGTCTTGGGCGCCTACAGCGGCCCAAGAAGCGCCCAAGAAGCGTTCTCCGATGATGTCTCGAGCGAAACGCTGTTTTAAGCCCCGAAGGCCGCCCTACTCGATACAAAACGAGGCGCGAGGGCAATTAGATCCGGGTCCGCGGATGCCAACCCCTCGAACTCCGCCAGATCCAATTTCTTCCGACTAACGGACCGCACGCTAACGCGCGCTTTCCGTCATCCGGGGCTCGCGATGCCACCCCCCTCGAACTCCCCCAAGTCCAATTTCTTCCGACTAACGGACCGCACGCTAACGCGCGCGGTGCGTCATCCCCATTCAGCAATCGGAGCCCAAATCGGAATCCGAAACCGAATCGAATCGGAATCGGGGGCGCTCGAAATCGCATCGAGCCGAGTCGGAGGAATCGTAATGAGCCCTACTCTGCGCGTACTTATCTGGTCCCAAGGATTCTGGAGCAGCGCCTCTTCCCTGACGGGGGAAGGCCCCCCCCTTCGCCTGCACCCCCCTCCGCTGTGCGTGGGTGTGTGGGGGCCCCGGTGCCGCGAAGTATCCAGGACACTGGGGACTCCTCCTCCTCCTCCTCGTACTCCTCCTCCTCGTGCTCCTCCATGCCGTGTCCTCCTCCTCCTCCTCCTCCTCCTCCTCCTCCTCCTCCTCCTCCTCCTCCTCCTCGTACTCTTCCTAGCCGTTTCGGGGCGAGGCAGGTGCCCGCTCTTGCGGGAGCAAGCTTCGGAGCGGCGTGCCCCCGCGGGCCGATGGCGAATGGCGTTGCAGGTGGCGCGCGCGGAGCCAGCCAGGGTGGCGACCCCTGAACGTGTCGTGCGTGCGCTGGTGGCTACAGCAACATGGCCTGGCGCACGGAGCGCAGGCTCTGCAAGGCGGCGCGGCCGCCGCGCGGCGCTGGCACGATCGGCGAGGCCATCGACAAGGCCAAGGCGAAGGCCAAGGCCAAGGGGAAGGCGAAGGCCGAGGCGAAGCGCGTGCGCTTTGCCTCGGATGTGCCTGGCCCTGCCGCCGCCGCGGCCACGCCGGCGCCGTGGGCGCTGGGCGCGGCCAAGCAGGCGGCTGAGGAGCAGCCCAGCGGCAGCGGCGGCAAGGACGAGGAGGTGCGCCAGGCCCTCCTCCGCCACTTTGGCCCCAGGGGAAGGCTGGTCGGCGGCCCTGGTCCAGGACTTCGGGGCCTTGGTGCCTGTGGTGGACGCGCCGCCGCCTGCGAAGCCCTTTGCCGAGCTGTCGCTCCAGGCCCTCCTGGCCAGGGAGGCGAAGATCAAGGGCCAGGTCGGGCGCGCGGAGATCGCGCCGGCGGCCGTCAAGGAGGAGCAGGAGGCCGTCGCGGCCCGCGTGGCGGAGCAGGCTGACGTCCTCCAGAAGCGGCGCGACCAGCTGGAGGAGGTGGCCGAGGCGGTGCGTGCCAGGAAGCGCGCCGACCTGGCGCAGCACACGGGGCCGTCGCCCATGGAGGAGGGCGAGCCTGAGGAGGCCGAGGGCTGCCTGGGCAAGGCGCTGCTCAAGGGCCTCGAGGGCCTCGAGGCTGAGCGGGAGCGGGTTCTCTTGCTCGGGGAGGAGGGCGGCGCCCTGCTCGCGATGGCCGCCGAGGCCCGCAGCCTCGCGGAGAAGCTCGCCGCCGCTGACGCCCGTGCTCGCGAGGCAGCGGCGGCCGAGCGGGCCCGCGCGACTGCAGCCGCAGCTGAGCGGGCCGCCGCGGCGCAGGAGGCCGCTCCCGAGGCCGATGGCGGTGATGATGGCGCTGCTGGTCCTCCTTGGGACCGCAAGCGCGTCGGCGACCTCGACCTCGGCCCCGAGCTCGTCGGGCTTGACGCCGTGTTCGGCGAGCTGGGCATGGGGGACGAGCAGCAGCGCGCTGCCTGGCGCGCAGCGCTGGCCAAGCGCCAGCGGGTGGCAGGCCCCGCCCCAGGGTAGCCGCCCGCAGGCGGCGGACGTGGTGGAGCTGGTGACGGCCAACGCCACCGCGTGGGGCTCGGCGCAGTCGCTGGTCGAGTGGCTGCACGGTGATCTGCCTCCAGGAGCACCGCCTCAAGGGCAAGCAGGCGGTGGCCCGCGCTGCGGGCTGGATGCAGGCGCGCGGCTTCAGCTGGCACGGCCAGGCGGCGCTGCCGACGGGCCCAGGGCCGCTGGAGAGCTCGGGAGGAGTGGCAGTGGCCACTCTGCGGCCGTCGGCGGCCGCCGCCGCGCCTGGGCCCCCTGCCCATCGGTTCCAGGTGTGCGAGGTGAACCTGGGGTTCAGGGAGCCGTGCCGCGTCATCTCGGCTTACTTCATCACGAAGGTGGGCAGGGCGAAGGAGAACATCGGGCTCCTGGCGGCGCTGCACGAGTTCGTGGGGCAGCTGGAGTCGCCGTGGATCGTGATGGGTGACTGGAACATGGAGCCCGAGGACGTCCGTGAGTGGGCGCGCAGCGCTGGCGGTGCGCTCGTCGCCCCAGAGGAGCCGACCTGCGGCTCGAAGGTCTTCGACTTCGCGGTCGCCAGCAAGGTCCTCACGGGCTTTGTGGATGCGGCTGAGGTGCTGCTGAGGGCGCCGACGAAGGACCACGTGCCGTCCAAGGTGGTGCTGCGCGGCGTGGGGCCAGCGGCGAAGGTGCAGCGGCCGCTCTTCCCTGCCGCCTTCCCATTGCCGCTGCCGCCGCCAGTGCGGCCAGCGCCGCTCGAGCGTGCCTTCTCGACCTGGAGCCCCGGCGGTGGGCAGTCGCTCAAGGTGGGCTGCCAGGAGTGGTTCGAGGCGGCGGGGGCCTACCTGATCGACCTCCGCGAGATCGCGCCGCCCAGCCGCTGGAAAGGGCGCGCCGGCGGGCTGCGAGCGCAGAGGGTCGAGATGGAGGTGGCCTGGCAGCAGGGCCTCAAGAGGAGTGTTGGCGCTGCCTGCAGGCGCTGGATGTCATTCGCGGCGGCATGCGCCCGCTGGCGCGCGCTGCAGGAGGCGGCGCCAGGAGGTCGCTGCTGGGCGCCGCTGCGCAAGCAGCGCGAGGTGCTGATGGCGTTCGAGCTCGAGCGGCCTGAGGAAGGCCCGCTGGCTGGGCTGTCGGTGGCCCGCGTGGTGGGCCTGCTCAGCTCCTCATCGTGCCAGCTGACGGTGCAGTTCGTCCAGGGGGAGGCGAGGCGGCGCTGGAGGCTGGACAAGCAGCAGAAGGCCGCGGAGTGGCGCACCTGGGCCCAGGCCGCGGCCACCGAGAAGGGCGGCTCGGCGGCCCACCGCTTCATCAAGCAGGTCGCGGCGGCGCCCGCGGTGGTGCTCGCGGGCGCGGACGGGGGCGACGACCCGCGCATGCCCGTTGCGGGCGAGGCCGCAGTGGCTGCGCTGCTGGAGGCGCGGCAGCCGCTCTGGATCAAGCCGTCGCGTGCAGGCGAGGCGGCGCCCGAGGACTGGGGCGTCCAGGAGTCGGAGCTGCCGCCGCTGGAGCTCGAGGACCTCGAGCGGGTCTTGGGCACCTACCGCGAGGGGTGCGGCCTAGGGTGGGATAGGCTCCACCCGAAGCAGCTGCTGCGCCTCCCGCGGTCCTACAGGCAGCGCTTCCTGGAGCTCCCCATGGCCTGGGGGCGGAAGCCTTCGCGGGAGGCGCTGTGGCAGCTGATCGTGGTGTTCACCCCCAATACTACTGGCGGCCAGCGGCCGATCGGCCTCGCGGCCATCTGGCTGAGGGTCTGGAGCAGGTTGCGACAGCCGCTGGTGGCCCGCTGGGAGGTCTCGTTGAAGAACCCTGCCTTCTGGGGCACGTCGGAGTGCCCGTGCGAGCGCGCGGGGGCGGTGCACAACCTCCTGGCAGCCTTTGCTCGCAGCAGGGGCCTCTCGGCGGCCACGGGTGTCACCGACCTGGCGCGGTTCTACGAGCACGTCAGCCATGAGGAGCTGCGCGTGCAGGCGGCCGCCGCGGAGTTCCCGCTCGCGCTGCTGCAGTGCTACTGCGTGTCGTACCGCACGCAGCGCCGCGTTTCCTGGTGTGGCTCGGTCTCCCAGCCGTTCGAAGCGAACGGCGCCATTGTGGCGGGCTGCAGTGGTGCGGTCGGGCTGGCCAAGCTGCTGGTGCACACCCTCTTCGTGAAGATTGTGCGCACTAACCCTATGGTTCGCCTGCAGAACGTCGTCGACGACGTGCTGCTGCAGGCTGTCGGCGGCAGGGCTCAGGTGGTGCAGCAGCTCCCCAGGGCCATGGCTGCCCTCGCAGAGGGCCTGGTCGCCAAGGGGCTTGTCATCTCGGAGGCGAAGCCGGGCTGCCTAGCGAACGGCGAGGACCTCGGCGACGCGCTGGACGGCTGCTGGGCGCACGGGCCGCTGCCCCGCTGGACTGGCGCCCGCTGCCTTGGCGGCGACGCCGCCGATGGGCGCTGGAGGCGCGCGCGCGAGCAGGGCGCTCGGCTCGGCCGCGCGGTGGCGGTCAGTGCGCGGGCGCGCCTGCTGCGCAGTGCTGGTGCGCAGGTGGGCCACATCCAGAGAGGCAGCCCCGCGGCCACCGCCGTCTGGGGCTCCGCGGTGACGGGCCTCGCCTGCGGGAAGCTGCGCGGCCTGCGGGTCGCCGCCATGCGCGCGGAGGGCAGGCTGCCCATGGGCGCCAGCGTCGGCCTGCGGCTGCGGGCGCTGCACGGCGCTGCCTACCGTGACCCCTTCGCGGTGCACGCGGTGGAGGTGGCGCGCTCCTCGGGCGTGACGCTGGAGACGGGCCTGCCCAGCGCCGCGGTGGTGCAGGAGTGCTGGCTCGGGGCGCAAGGCTTGCTCGACCTTCGCCGCCCCTGGGGGCAGCGCCGCGACCCTGCGCAGGCTTGTGTGCTGGCGTTACGACGGGTCGGCATCGATATGGTGGCCTACAATGCCGTCATCGACTGGCAGGCGCGCGTCCTCTCGCTGGAGTTATACTCGCCTGGCATGCTGGTGCAGGTGGTGCGCGAGTCGGCGATGCTGGCCTCGGACGTGCTCGCGCTGAAGCGGCTGCGCGGGCCTGGCGCCTGGGCATGGCCTGTGCACTGGAAGGGGCTGGAGCGCCTCCTCCACGCGCGCCGCCGCCCCGAGGGGCAGGCCGACGCCGAGGCCGCCGATGGCGCTGGCCGCCTGGTGCCCGCGCCGCCGCCGCCGCACTGGCAGGCCCGCCACAGGCGAGCGCTCGTGGCGGTCCTCGGCGGCTCCCACTGGCCGCAGGAGCGCCTCTGGAAGGAGGGCAAGGCGCGCGACGGCCTCTGCCGCCTCTGCGGTGGCCGAGGCACGCTGCGGCACAGGGCCTTCGAGTGCGACGCCTGGCTGCCTCTGCGGCGGGACGCGTGCTCGCCTGAGCTGCTGGAGGGGGCGCGGCTGGTGGCGCAGCGCGGGGACGCCGCGGCGGAGCTCTTCGCGCGTGCGTTGTGCCCCGACCCCGCCCTAGCCTTCCCCGCGGCGGCCGACGCCGCGCTCGCGGCCCCGCGCTGGTTCGGCGTGCCGCCTGGCTCGAAATTCGCGGGCAGGGTCTTCGTGGACGGCAGCGCCAGGTTTCCTGCGCTGCGCGGGGCCCGCCGCGCAGGCTGGGCGGTGGTGCAGATCGGCCTCAGCAGGGGGGTCATCGGCGGGATGCACGGCATCGTCCCGCGGGCGTACGGGCCCGAGCAGGAGGCCAGGGACGGCGAGGACTACGCGTTCCACATGCTGGCCCAGTTCTGGCTGCCGTCGGCCGGCGGCTCGGGCCTTGAGGTCTTCTGCGACTGCGCGGGCGCGGTCGGCTTGGCGCTCTCGCAAGGCAAGGCCCTCGCGCCGCTGCAGGCGCGCCGCCACCTGTGGCAGGAGTGGTGGGCAGGGCCAGGCCCGTCGGCCACGGTGCGCAAGGTCAAGGCGCACACGGTGCTCGCAGCGGCCTCCTGGGAGGATGAGCTCCTGATCAGGGGCAACAGGGCAGCCGACCTGTGGGCCAAGAGAGGCGCCGCCCTGTGGCCGATCGACGAGGAGCGGGTCTGGTTCCTCCAGGCATGCGCCTGGCGCGTGGAGGAGCTCGGGCGCTGGGTCGGCGAGCTGGCCGCCACCATGGTGGACCGCGAGCAGCTGGACTCGGACGGGGTGGTGGGCACGGCCGACCTCGTCTACGACATCCCGCAGGCGGCGCTGGACGCGGCGGAGCTGGCCGACGCGGAGGTGGCGGCGCTGGCGCTCGAGGCCGACCTCGAGCTCGGCCAGGCGCCTGGCGCTGCTGCTGGGGCCGCTGCTGGCGTGGAGCTCGGCCAGGCGACCGCTGCTGCCGCTGGGGCCGCGGCCGACGAGCTTGCGGAGGCAGCTGTGGCCGCTCCCGAGCTGAAGGCTGCGGCAGCTGGAGCTGGAGTGGCGCGGGTGGTGCGCGGGCACTGCATCGTCGTCTCGCGCCTCGTGAACGGCGACGGGGCCATGGCCTGGTGCCTGAAGTGCGGCTGCCGCTTCTGGAAGCGGTCCCCTCCAGCTGGGACAGGCCTGCTGGGCAGCTGCAAAGGGCGGCCTGCCCCAGGCGAGAGGGCGGCGGAGGCGCGGCGGCTCTTGATGCGCCTCCAGGAGCCGAAGAGCAGGGCGAGGCTCTTCGCTCCTCAGCCGCCCACGGAGGAGGAGCAGGCGCGGCTCGCGGCGGTGCTCCACGGCGACGCAGGCGCTGTGGACGGCGCTGGAGCTCCCGCTGGAGCAGGGCGGTCGCCGCGCTGGGGGCTGCGGCCCGCCACGGCAGACGCCTGGCAGGCGGCCGAGCTCCACGGCTTCGCCTCGCCTGCTGCCGCCGCTCGCTGGGCGCGGGCGCGCGTGGCGGCGGGCAGGGAGTCGCCCTTCGGCGACGGCGAGGGCGCGGTCTGACAGCTGCGCAGACGGCACCTGGTTTAGCCCGCCGGCAGGGCGCCAGGGGGCCGAACATAAAAATAGCCTCGTACTCTTCCTCCTGCTCCTCC